AAGATACCACATGTTACATTACAGTCTTGCTGCCTTACATACCATCATAGAAAGTGAACAACATTCAGTAACTTCAGGCGTACCATTAAACAGATACCAGTAAGTGCTCCAGTTTTTTGTACCATACAATTTTATTTCAGTCACATCTTTCTAGGCAACGTATCCAAAATATTTGACCCAAGCATACCTTTAGACTGCAAATACACTGAAATAGGGAATTAAGTCTTTCCAACTTAAAAAAAAAATCACATTAAGTTTTAGGTCATATTATAAAAAGTAACCATGTGGAATGTGACAAGTCATAATGTGAAATCAAAGTGCTTTATTCCCATAGCGCAGACAGACATGAGTGGTTATCCAGCCATTCTTTAGTATATCTCAAACACCAAAAGAGATACTTGCTCTGTTGCGCCCCACCTTGCAGAGACTTTTGGACCATTATGGTGAAATTTCACTAACTAACAGCTAAACAGTATCAGTGGACCAGCAATTTCACTCTGATACTTCAAATGATGAGTTATAAATGAGGCATCTTTTCATCATTATTCAGGTTCCCTTAATAATTTGCAAAGTTCTACTATATTATGTAACATTATATTCCAGTTAGTCTTTTAAAATCCAAGGTATGCTCTATTCAAAACCCTCAAATTATTTCCCTAGAACCCAATAGCTGTATAAGACTCAGTATTTTTGTGCAATTCTTTGCTACTTGCATGTGAAGAGAGAAACACTTCACTCAACAGCCTGTATGAAAGAACTATAAACTCTCAAAGCAGAAAACAACTTTAATAAGGTTTGGACATCAGTAGTTGCATGGAATGTGTGTTCAATTCAGATGTGCCCTTCCTGAAAAAAAATCATGTTTTAATTGTTCAGTCAGAAAATGTCCTTCCTACAGAAGTCTAAAAACCTATTTATCTTGCAGAGAAAAGTTTAAGACTTAGGCATTTAATTATCTTTCCTGTTACAACAGAATTATCTCTACATCATAATGCATATGATTTATCCTCCCTGTTTCAGACACCCCACTGTACAGGTGTACAGTTTAAACAGGGAGAACTGAGGGAAAATTTCCGGTCCCATCCCATGACAGAAAGACAAAACGCTTTGCAAGACTGATTTTATCCATTGCATTTGTGGCAACCAACCCAAAATGAAGGCACATGAAATCTGTAACATTATAGCTTATAAATTGTAAACTAAAGCTGAACCTCTCTATAATTTCTAGTCTTTTTGCACAGAAGTAACGACCAGCACCTATGCAGAGGTTCTATATTATTTTTAATGCAGCTTTTCCCAGAAATAGTTAAGTGTCACTTGCATGCCTGTGCAAACACTGTCATTTATTAGGTTTTGACATGAAGTGCAGAAACTGGCTGTTTATCTGCATGGAAAGTCTGATGCCAATGCATCAGTAGCACTTCCTTCCCGTCGCTATGAGAAATATAAGTCACTAGCAACAGCTTAAAAGTGCACACTCCTAGCAGCAGTTTTCCTGTCAGGTGTTCTACAGCCTGTGGCATGCATTTAATCAGTGTCTCAAATTTGGATTTTAACATGTCAAAGCCTATCTAGTTCTGGTTAGTTACAGGCCAGGCACGCACAGGCATCTTAAGGAAGCCAACTCGAAACATGCTTTGACAGATGCTGCATTGAAACTGGCCATACTTTAACAACTAAACACAGATGAGCTGCTAAACACACTGAGTAGCACTCAGGATCAGGGTCAGATCCATACCTCAGCTCTTAAGAAAAGCTGAATATGGATATAAATCTGCCTCCTAGATTTCACTGAAACTGCTACCTTTAAAGCAGAGAAACAAGATTCAAGGTTTCCGAAAGCTTTAGCAGACGGATAGGCTTGTCAATCAGATTAAGACTTACTAGGTTGTCAAACAACAGTTCAAAGCCTTGGCTTTCACTTCTCTAGAAAGATAGGTTTAAAAGAACTCAAACACCACTGCCACCACTTAACTAGAATATGTAATTATGCTGCTTCATTCAGAATGATAAACAGGGATAGAGTTTTGGAGTTCTAGTTTTTCACCTTATGCGCTAGTTCATACACCTTTTTTTTCTTCCCCTCTCTTTTTTCTCTATTTCCGCACAGTGTAAGTTGAAGGGATTGGCACACAAGCTACTAGCAAACACAGACTGTAGCTATTACATCACAGAACCATATTACAGTTTCATGAAGATTTCATGCAGTGGTGTCTGTGCTCTTTTATTCTAAAAGAGAACGATTTTCACAGGTAACACATACAACACAATTTTCTGATTTTAAATGCAGTGAGTTACACAAAGAACATTAACAAGAATCGACCAGACTTAATAACTGGAACTGCGCTAGGTCTGGCACTTGAGAATTCACAGTGATTAAAATAAAATTGCTTTGCCTAAGACAAAACATAAGATACCAAATATATATATAAACTCTTTGCTTTTATTATCTTGTATTAGTATTCCAACAGCGATAAGCAAGCTCAGTAGTAACTCAGACAGCAAAGACTTCTGCACATGGTTAACTTTATTCATTGCTTGCAGTGCAATGGATTTCTTTCTTAAGTAGTATATTCATGATGTCAAATCAAGCAATTTTCAATGCATAAAGTCAACACAGGCTCAACTCTTTGATGGATTGAAGCTTGGATTATGACAGGAAACCACTCTCTACCATCTCGTTTTGTGTACCCAAGTGAACACTGTGCCAGGTGGTATTGCTGTTAAAGAGAAACTTAAGGTATACTTGTATATTATTGAAGTGTTCTTCTGACATAGAAAGTTGTTTGCTGATAGTTTATAGTACCAGTTGATAATGTAAGAATAAAGCATTTGCACTTTTCTTTCCCCCACTCACTTCACTAATCCTAGTAGATCCACTAACACAGGTTTACGATCACAAAGCCGAACTTTACGATCTTTAGAGAGAAAGAAGCATAGCTTTTAAACACCCCAGCGTTTCTCAACCCACCCACTGCCTCCCATTTCAGCACTGAGGGCCCGGCTGAAGCAGCTGCTCCCAGAGCCCTGGTGACCTGCTGGGCTCACTGACCACACCAAACTGGGAGTTAAAGCAAGATACTCAGGACCCTTTTGGCAAGAGTCCCCGAGTGTAGATCAGCACCCACTCGTACCTGCCTCACCTTCCGTGCTACACCTGAGGGCACTTTGGTCCGTGCATCCACCTCCCAGACCTCCTGCTCCCCGGCCTTATCCAAACACATTGGACTTCGGCCTAAGCTTGAATGATGATTTCAGGGATTTCTCCTCATGCTCTTCCTCCTCAGTGTCACCACGAAAGGAGGGCGTGTTGTGGATGATCTGAGTCCTGAAGCGGATCTTATTAAGCCGAGGTTTCATCCGTCCGCTGCCAGAGGCTTTCCTGGTCATCTCCTTTCCTTTGCCTGGCACCGCTGCCCCATCGGTACCTTCAGTTTCCTCCGCAGTGCCGTGATGGTGGTGGGAGAGCCGGTAGTTCATGAGATTAGATGGCAACACCTTGGAGAGCCTCCAGCGCCCGCTGCCATTGCCAGCACTCCCTTCCTCTTCCTCCTCCTCCAGGGCCCCCACGAGGTTCCGCATGTCCCCCGAGGTACCCTGCTGCAGGTACTGCGCAGCCTTGCGCCCGCTGTAGTCGCGGATGTCCACATCGGCGTCGTAGGCTCCCACCAGCAGCTTCACGACCTCGGCGTGGCCGTGCATGGCGGCGATGTGCAGCGCCGTGTGCCCGCCGCTCGTGCGGGCGTTGATGTCCACGGGCAGCCCGTGCCGCTGGGCGAAGTTGACCAGCGTGGCCAGCAGCTCCTGCCGCCCGTGCTTGGCGGCCCAGTGCAGCACCGTGAAGCCGGTGATAAAGTCCCGCTTGCAGAGCAGCGCCGGCTCGCAGCTCAGAAGCCCCTCCAGGCTCTCCCACCGCCCGTCCGAGGCCGACAGCATCCAGGCGTGCTCCAGGGGGTCCAGTGCCACGGAGCCGGTGGTGCTCCCCTCCTCCTCGGCGGAGGATGAGGCCACCGAGGCGCTGTCCGAGTCGCGGCCGCGGCCCCCGCCGGGGAGGGCGCCGCGCTTCAGCTGGGGGGAGCTGCCCCGCGCCGCCTCCCGCAGGCTCCGGCGGCCGCCGCCCTGCGCCGCCGCCCCGGGGGCTCCTTCCACCACCCCCGCCTCGTCCGCCGCCGGGGGCCGCCCCGGGCCCGCCGCTATCGCGGTCTCCTCGCCGCCGCCGCCGCCTTCGCCGCGCCCGGGCGGTGGCCCCCGTCGGGAGCCCCTCCGCTGGCCTCCAGCCACCGCCGGGCTCGGCCGGGGCGGCTCGCCCCGCTGCTCCGGGGGCTGCGGGCGACTGCCGGCATCCTCGCCTGTTGCCGGCGGCGTCTCCTCAGCGCCAGCCCGTGGGGAGGGCGGCGGACTCGGCTGCTTCGCGCTGTTCTCCGCCGCCGGCTCCTGCTCCACGGGGGTCAGGGGGGCTGCGGCGGGGGGCTCGGGGGCGCAGTACCGGCGGCGGAGGTGCACGTACTTGACGCCGGTGCCGGGCTCCTGGCGCACGGTGGCTACTGCGTTGACCAGCTCCTTGAAGCGCTGCCGGGCGGCGGCACGGCGGGAGGGCTCCGCGGGGTTCAGCCAGTCCCGGAAATGCTCCAGCAGCTCCGCGTTGCGCGCCCGCCCGCCCCGCGCCGCCAGGAACCGCACCACTGACTCCTGCTGCAGCTCCGCCGGCTCCGCCATCGCCGCCGCTACCCCATCGCGCCGCCGGCGCTCCTCCTGCTGCTACTGCCGCTGCTGGTGATGGTGGTGGCAGTGGTGGTGCGGGCGCGGCAGAGCTGCCGCTGCCCGAGCCCCTCCTCCCGGCGGCAGCATGCCCGGCAATCACTGCCGCGGCGGCGGCACCACGCCGCCCTCCGGCCGGGAGGCGCCCGCCAGCAGCGCCCGCCCCGGCGGCGGAGCCGCGGCCGCGTCCCCTCCCCGCGCTCCTCCCCGCCGCGTGGCTCTCCCCTTCGGCGGCACTTTTGGCCGCGTCCTTCCCTGCCTGCTCTTCACCCTCCTTCTCTATCTCGCCTGGCAGGGCTATGGCCGCTTCCGATGCCGGTCGGCACCCGGTAAGTCCCCTCCGCGGTGCGGGGAGCGGCTGGTGCGCAGCCCCTGCGCCGGGGGTGAGCCCGGCACGGCTGAGGGGACAGAGGGGCCCGGCAGCACCGGCACCAGGAGGGGAAGGAGGGTGATGGTCACACCGTGCGAAGGGGTCGAAGTGCTGCCCGTACCTCACTGCGGGGCACTGGGCGCTGCCCCAGGGCCGCGTCAGGGTGGGGGTCAGGTTAGCGGGGGAGATGAAAGCTCCTTCTTCACACAGTCTAGTTCCCAGAGCTGCCCGGCTTTTAGAACACTTGTTGTTAAAGGAACTTGTTTTCAGACGTCACTCTTAGCGCTCCCGTGGCGTATCGCGTATTTCAAGAAATAAGTTGAATCTTCTCTACTGAAGAACTTCCTCTGTGTAATGGCAAAGCTGTCAGCTTTATGTTGTGAAGACATTGGGCCCATCCGCACGGCAGTGCTGGAGCGTTATTTCCCCTGGAGCGTGGTTCCCATGCCTGTTGGTAGTAGTGGAACGCTCAGGAAGAGGTTTGGGCACGTTAATGTGGGGATGTCCCCTCTCGTGGCTGGGCATCCTTCCCAGGGCCCCGCATAGCCGCCTGGGGCTGGCAGGACCCTCACCTCCTGCACAACCACACTCTGATTACGGTTTTCTTGTAGTTTTGGAGGGCAAATTTCACTCACGTCTGCAAACCCAGCAGCAAGCTAGTTTTTTGCTTGGACGACTGGTCTGGTTCTGCAGAGGTTTTTTCAGAGTGATGCGTGTAGTCTGAGACTTTTTTTTGCTTTGGTACAGCATGGTGTTGTGCAGTTTTAGTCAGAAATGTGTGGCAAATTTAAAATAACGTGGGTTTTTTTAGTTTCTTTCTGGAAGAAAGAATAATTTTTAAATGTTATACCGTATCAGGCTATGTTTTTTTTAATGCTGTTTTTAATGGGCAAGACAACTTTATATAAACCAAAATATTTGATTAAATCATAGAATCGTAGAATGGTTTCGGTTGGAAGAGATTTCAAAAAGATTGTCTGTTTCCAACCCTCCTGCTATGGGACAGGAACAGTTTCACTAGACATGTTGCTCAGAGCCCCATTCCATGTAATGAATCTGGAGAAATCCAGACACATTAGTTATGCCACCAACCTTCAAAAATGGAGTTGAGGGAGGGAATGAAATGTGATTTAGGTGATATCAATTAGGTGATCAACTAAGTGATATTTATTTTGGAAGTAGTAAGAATGCAGATACCATATGGTCAGTTTTGTGGACTTAATTTCTCTGCATATTTGTTAGACAATAGCAGAGATACAAACACCCGGTGTCCTTGGAAAATTTCAGAAGGAAAAATGTGGGCTACTGCTTTTCTATTAAGAGAATTCCTCAGTTGCTGTCAGGTGGGATAGGTTTACCCAGTGATTCTTCCCAAGGAAGGGAGGTGTTGTCCTGAATGAGGGCTCGCTGCTTGGTAGGCAGCAGCAATTTACACACCGAGACAAGCTACTTCTATTTCTTTATTCTAGTTTGTGCAATGTAGGGTGCTAGGTGATGACCCACAAAATGCTAGTTGCCCAGTCATCAAAACTGCATCTACACATTTTAGCAAACAAGGAAATCAAGGGTCATTGGCTACTAGTTGCATAGTTTTCTTAATTAGTGTTCTACCTTCTGTTGGTTAGTGATTCTCTCGTTTGTCATGCTAATTAGCCCACATTCGCAGTCTTTCTCTTCTTTTGAGTCGGTGGGTTTCTGCAGTTGGTGGTCCATGAGTCGGTAGTCACAATCTCCTCCTGCTAGAATTGCAGTTGGAGCTGAGTCTATAGATTTCAGCATAGTTGCTGAGTTTGCTTTGTTAGTTTCTTCCTTATATTGGGAGTTCTGCCAGATGTCCTTGTGGCCCGTGAATTTTGTATTCTTTGTGTCCACTATCATTAGCACATCCTTCTCCCCCAGCTTTGTTAACCACCTCCAGGTCTGAGATCATCGAGGTGTGTCAAGCCCTAAACCTTAACAAGGCAATTCTACTGACAGTAATTTGTCTTTCTAACACCTGGACATTAGAAGGAATTAAATTTATTCCTGCGAGTGTCTTTCTTTGTCGGAGAGTTACAAGTGGCAGTGCAGGGGTTTTGAGGGTAGCCCAGCGTGGTTGGGATTTAGGCTGGTGACATGAAGGTGAGAGTCTTCCCTTCTGCAGTCACACTGAGCCTCTTGCACTGGCTTTTGGTGTAGATGCTGAATGGTTGGTGTTAGTGGAACTGTCTTATCCTAGTGGCAGTAGAGGTGCTTTGAGTATCAGACTGAACAGCTAGAGTTCTTAGATGTGCGGCCACCCTGTCTCAGGTACACTTGTCTTTAAATGGATAGGAAACAGTCCTCAGTGTTTTTCAGCACTTTTTAATAGTAATTTTCTTCTGGTAGAATGCCTTGAGAAATTTTGTTTTCTGACTTGCTTTGAATGTACTCTTTTTAATAGCCCAAAGATGTAATATTTTCTCTTTAAATTGTTCACTTGCTGTTTACATTTTCCCTCATATTAGTCTAAAATGGAATTATCTAACTACAGGAATCTAAAATGAGAGTTGGTGCAGTTAGTGCAGTGTAGTCTGTAAGCCCATACAAGGAAGTCCTGTGCAAATAAAGAAGAGAATGAGTATATGCTATGAGGAATATCCATATCCTTCTAGCTACAAGAATTCTAAGACTTGCTATACATACCTATTAGAAAAGGTGTCACTTTAATGGACTTTTAAGTGTTAAATTTAAAAATTTCCTACTGTTGACCATGTGCATGTTCACAGGAAACAGTAATGGTTTCCAATTCCATGTGGTTTGGAAATATAAGAGAAAGAATAGCATAGACCTTTGACCGTTTCTACTTCTGATACATAATGTTTATTTAAACATACTGTACATTTGTATGAATCAAGATTCAATCCTTTTAGCATTATGCATTTTAGTATGTTCACTGCCTTGATGTCATGATTCTAGATTGCTAGCTGATGTTTGGAAAGGTATGTGCACCTTTAGATATTTCTAATTAAATAGATATAATGCTCTCTCAGAGTTCTGCTGCATATGAGTGTAGATAATGCTTTAATTTACATAAATAGCAATTTCAGTTCCAGCTCCTCAGAATGAGTTTCATTTGATAACGTACACATTCCTCTCTGTTTTGAATTCTGATGTTTAGATTGTTTTCAGTACTTTTTCCTAATTTTTAAAAACAAACCAACTGTGATCTACTTTCTCCCTACAGTTGTCATTTTATATTTTCTATTGGACTTGTCTGCTTTATTTCATTCGCATTTCGTAAGATTGTTTGGTTTGTTTGTTTTGCAAAACCTGGACTTTATTTTAAGCCTGCAAATCATCCTATAAAGTAAATTTAATTTTTTTCTCAAATTATGGAATAAAGCTGATTTTACAGGTCTTTTTTTCAGATTTTGACTTTTCTTCATTGCGTGTGAAATCATAAGGAACAAGTTCTAGCTTTCTAGTAAAATTAATTTATTGCCATTGTTAACTGATATTTTAAAATTATTTTTCTGTAGCAAAATGTTGGCTGTCGAACTTTGTCCTTGTCTGCACATGTTGGGTTTGATAGCTTACCTGACCAGCTGATTAGGAAATCCATCAAGCATGGCTTCTGCTTCAACGTTCTTTGCATTGGTGAGTAGTATCTGGGTGCTTTAGGGCTTTAGTGGTATACCCATCCTAGGAAGTGACTGAAATTTAAATCCAGTTGTGGTGTTAAACAGTTTCTTTAATACTAAGCATGAGCTATAGTTCTACCCCTTCTCCCAGCTTTGTTTATTTATGTTTGTGCGTAACATTTTTGTAAACAATGTGAAGACCAAAAAATGTTGAAAATGGATGCCAGTTATTTATTCATTTATCAGCAGCCTTTTGAATTTTTTTTGCATAAACTGGGCTTACACTTGTAACAAAAAGCTTCAGATTAAAAAATTCTAAAATTCCAAGGTGGTATTACTGAAGTGTTTCTACTTAACTACTTCACTTTAAAATCTAGGAATTTAGTTCACACTTCTAAAGAAACCAAAGTGTCAAGACACTGTTCTGCTCATTACTCATTAGCTGGTAATTTACCCTTATATGTAAGATGAAAAAAATAATGAAAATATATTTAGTGTTCACTAAAAGAATGCACAAATGCATTTTGCTCAGAGAAATCAGTTGAGAAATTTTTGTATACACTTTCTGTGATTATTATGCGTTTATTTGATGTGCAAAATATCTTCTCCAACCCTGCTGTTTGACTTTAGGGGAAACTGGAATTGGGAAATCAGCCTTGATGAGCAGTTTGTTTAACACCAATTTTGAGGACTGTCCATCAACACATTTTCTGTCAAGTGTGCGACTTAGAGCCCAGACTTATGAACTTCAGGAAAGTAATGTTCCTTTGAAACTGACCATTGTAAAAACAGTGGGATTTGGTGATCAGGTGAACAAAGCAGATAGGTAAGTGCCCTCTTGTCACTATATTATGCCAAAGTTTTTATCTTAATTTAAAGTAGATTTTTCTGGGGCTTTGTACTAAGTGGTTGTCTTACATTATGTTCCAAATAGATGGTTGACTGATTTCCCCGAGTGCCAAAGTAAACACATTGTTCTTCTGTGTAAGAAGTTATTTTATAATTCAGATGAACTCTGCCCCTTTCTTTATGATATAATCTTTTATAAATGTGTGTACATGCAGTAGTTTCTTTTGAGGTGGAGAAAAGCAGGAGTTCAATGAGAGGGTTTTTAAACAGCCAAGCAGATTATAAAGTACTGTAGATTATATAGATTAGATTTACAGGGTTTTTAACGATTTGCTTATAACTTGTTGAAGACCTTAAACTGGAAGTAACATCATGTGGATTACGGAAGGCCTTTGTTTTTTGTGTCAGCTTAGTTTGGAAGGTGTAGAGGCAGCACACTGGTGTCTTTCAGAACTTTTTTAGTCTCTGCTTTTGTGAATTTTTTACAGGACTGAACTGTCTCAGCGGATTTTGTTTCTTTCAGCTTAATTGTAAACAATTTGCGCTATGTGAGTACCTAATTGGTGGTATTCATATAATAAAAGGTTAGAGAGTCACATTAAGATTGTCATGACAGCTATGGCTTATGGTACGACTGGTTAATAGCTACTGCTGGTGAATTGGAAGAAGGAGATGCAAGTAGTACAGCTACTAGAGGTTTTGATGTGTGGTGTAGGAGGTGCCTTTTTGTTCTTTTGATTTTTGTGTGTACCACCTGCTTCTGGATTTCGATAGCATTTGACCTGGTTTTCAAACTTTGTGGAGCAGAAGAAATGTAAGGGTGCACTGCTTCTACATCTAGCAAAACTTTTCTTTTTGAAAACACATTAGTATCTGGTTTTAAGTAGGATAATGTAAGATACTTGAACTATACTTACTGTAAATGAGAGTTTTATTCTCTAACATTTCTCATGTTAATTTTTGTCTATTGTTCAAGAGCTCTCTCATGAGAAGATAAAGTTCATCCTGTTTCTTGGTACTATTAGTTGCATATTCTTTCTTTTCTTGTATTGTACCTAAGAGGTTGTTGTATTTTCCTTATATTTAAGAGTTCTGCATTTGCATAAATTAATTGCAAAAATTTAAAAACATCACTTGGGAAGTTTGGTTATAATTAGTGAAAAAAGCTACATAAACTTAATGGTAGCTAGGAAATGTTTAGTCTGTATTAGATGCACAATTCTTTCCTGAGTATCTTTTCAGAAATTAGGATTAGTCTGTACACGTAATTTTCTGCCCTACTTGAGCAGCCTTTTGACATGTAAAGCAAAAAATCTGCAGAACAATACAAGAGAATCCCCTTCTTAGTCTGTCTCTGTTTAGGAGTAGCTAATATCTGGTTGTTAAATTTTATTTCCTACAGCTATCAGCCAATAGTGGATTATATAGATGCACAATTTGAAGCCTATCTCAAGGAAGAGCTGAAAGTTATACGTTCTTTATTTAGCTACCATGATACTCGCATCCATGTCTGCCTCTATTTCATTTCACCTACAGGCCGCTCCCTAAAAACCATAGATTTGTTAACTATGAGAAACCTAGACAGTAAGGTAAGACTTGGAAACAGTTCCAAGAATTTGTCTTACTTTCTAAAGCATCTTGTAGCTTTTAGGTTCACTATCATCGTTCAGTTCTATATCGATGCATTTGGTTTTGTAATTTTTTTTGGTACTGATATATTTTAAGTTCACAATAAATGGGCTCTGCAAGTAGCTTGCAGTTCATCACTTATTTACAAATCAAACGGAGAGAGACATAGCAAGAACATTGAAAAAAGAAGCACAACAAAGTTTAAAAAAATATTTTAAAAAGTGGAACCACACCAACTTTACTTTTATTAAACTGTAAACATCGTAGTGGGATTGTATATGGTACCTTCCATAAGTGCTGTAGTATTTCTAATTAAGCTTGTTTCTAGTTTTGGGACTCCTGGGTAGTTGGCATATAAAAAGCTCTGCAACACTGTGAAGATCTTCATTATAGGTAACTGAAGAGGCATGAAGAGCCATGAACAGAACACCCACCAACATGGCTTTTTCTGTGATAGGCTGCAGTAATGTTCTAACATCTTGATTTGTTTAGAAAGTTTTAAAATAGCAGTTTCTAGTGAAATTACTTGCATTTTCTAAATCCTTAGCTGTCTTCCTGTGATCGGGCTGTGTGAAACTAAATGTTTAACCTATTTCAAGAAACCTTCTATTATTTGGATTTAATCTGTTGAAATGTTGAAAAATTTTTTGAAAACTTAAATGCATTTGCTGTGCCTTTTGCCTTTTTCTTTGTGCTTTACTAGAGCCCCTCCCACTGCATTTTCTTTCTGCATTTTCTTGTTTGTGAGAAGTTTTTCCAAGATAACCAGGATTAAATCAGCTGTCTAGTCCACATTTGTGGTTGATAAGCACATTTGGTATTTTTGTTACTTTGTTTGTTTGCATTCTGAACTTCTAAATAGCAGAGAGCAAGCAGAGGGAAAGGATGGTGGTACAAAGGTAGGGGAGAGCAGGGTCATTTCTGTGTGCTATGTTGTTGGTTTCTAGGTTGTGCCCTCTCTTTACTGAACTTCCTTTAAAACACTGTTTCTTTCAAAAGGCTATAGATCTTTGAGACCCAGCTTCCTAAGAAAATACTTCCATCAGGATAAACCAAAAGTAATTATACTCTGAGGAATATTGGCTTCTGGCCACCTACTGCAAATATTTTTGGTTCTGTTTTGGCATAGAGAGAGCATGAGCCACATGTAATTCTTGTTTTATCTCTTTGCAATGGATTCTTTCTGATCTTACTACAAAAATATCCATGTAAACATGGAAGAATTATATGTTTTAACTGTAGTTTTGTTTCCATCTCGTTGTGGAGCATGTTTATGGTGCTTTTGGTACTGCATTCATCTTAGTGGCAATTAAGAGCTTGGAATTTCCCAGGATGTGGGAGTCCCTGGGTGCATTTGCTGAGTACAGGATTCCATAAAGAGAAGATGGTACAGCCGCATGCATCCATCAAATGTATAAATCTGTGTCAAAAACAATCTTGAGTTTCTTCCTAAATCCACTGCAGTGTACACTGTGTGCTTTTGTTATGGTCCGCTGCTACAAAACAATAGCAGATTACACAGCTCAGAGGTAGAGAGGGTTCTTGGAAGAGATTAGGTTCATCCTGTACTCTGCAGTCCTTGAAGAAGAAAACAGAGTATCCATAGTCAGTTTATTTTTCTCTGTTAAGAATTTGATGACTAGCTAAGAATTTGGACTCTAGCATTTAGACATTAGAAAATCCTGTAGTTTTGCTTAGGATGGCATCACTGCAGACCAGCCAGGTTTCATTGACAGACAAAGGGAATCTTCCTGTACTCTTTCTTGCTGGAAATAGTGATTATTCAACTAAGAGCTCTGCAGTTCTAATTCATTCTTGTAGAATTGTACGCAGGTTATGATTAAGTCAGTAAAGTAGCAAGGGGTTTTAGTTGGGGTTTTTTCCCTTCATAAAGAATCTTCAGAATTTTTTATATTGATTCACAGAGATACACTTAAATCAGCCTGCTCTTGCAACCAACAATGATTTCAAATAAGTGTATTTCTTTTCCTTCTTTGTTGCTAATCTAAAGCCAGAGTAAATTTTATGCTTTTCAATTTTTATACAATTGTGGTGATGTCAGTGTTGATAGCTATAATCACAGTTTCTGACGAGTTTGCTTTTTACCATTCTCCTTTCTATACTTTCTCTGCTATTTGTTTTCTTAGAAATTCTCTCCTAATTAGGAGTGCTTGAAAAAATTTGACATCGGAAAGACAACTTTCATGTTGAAAAAGAGTAGAGGTTAATTTAATTCTGGGGACTCTGTGTTCCATCCATTTTCACACCTATACTAGAGAAAACCTTAAGCTGATGTCCCTCAGCTAATTTGATTGAATGTGTAAAATACTCCTAGCTGTAACAGATTGTTTATACAATTCTAAATGAGTCCAGTTATTAAAAAATATATATTGCATAATTTAATTTGATTTTAGATATTTTACCCCATATATGCTTAGGTTGTGTATGCCACACAATTAAGGACCATGATCATGCAATCTTGGAAGTCATACTTCAGAGCTGCCTTGTTTCTTTGGGACATTTTGCTTAACACAGAAGTCTTATTTGAAAAATATCCATTTTGAATCTGGTCTTGACATTTAGGCATTTCAATTCAGATGGAATGTTCAGAAGAATAGAAAGTGTATATGTTTTTTTCTTTTTTATTTTCCTCTTCTTCCTTTTTGCATCTGTGATCAAGGAACTCTGTAAAAATCTGGAAGAGTTACTTATGTTCTTTCAAAATATTTGGATATTGGCATTCATTATTTCCATTTAGTTATGAAAAATGTGTATTTTGGGAGTGGTGATAGTATTTGTAAGAAAAAAAAGGAAACTATTTTAGGAAATAGGGCAGTTTAATAGAACTGAATTCTGTGTTCTGAATAATTAGTGTAAAGACTGGTAAGCAAGAAGCTTTAGCCTTTGTCATTCCTCAGCTCATGTCAGACACTGGAGAAACTGAGCTGCAGTGGTGAGGTGAAGAAGATGTAGCTGAAAGGAACCCAAGGAGGAGGCTTGGGGGTAGGCAGGGTTTGGTAGCCAGCTTCCTTTTCTTTGTGTATTTAGACTGTCAGCTTTCATTTAACATTTGAGCCATGTCCCCTGCTGCTATAAACTAAACAATCTATTTTTTAAACAGAGAGATAAATACTTAAAGGCATTTACTTAATAAGTAGGCATTGCTTTTGTTTGAGTACTTCAATCTATGAGACTTCCTTCCTTGTTCTTAGGATCAATTACTTTTAAGGGAGTATATTAAATAATTGGTTGCTAGTTAGTTAAATGATGCCCATGAGAATTTTTATTCATTGTTTGTGAAAATTTGATATCAGTTGAGGGAAAGGTTTGGACTGCAGAGGAAGTTTTAAACAGCTAATTAGAAAACAATTCTGTTTACAAAAGTTGCCACTTCAAAATTGAAGTCTCACGCATTTAACATAATTTATGTTATTCATAGGTGAACATTATACCAGTTATAGGCAAAGCAGACAGCATTTCTAAATCTGAGCTACAAGAGTTCAAGAAAAAAATAATGAGTGAATTAGTTAGTAATGGCATCCGGATATACCAGTTTCCTACTGATGATGAAACCATTTCTGAGATTAATGCTATGACAAATGTAAGTAAATGACAAAAATACTGATATTTCAGTAGTAAAGCATCATTCTCTAATGCTGATTAATGTCACTGCTTTCACTGTTGCCTTTTAGCTTGTAAGTTTGCCTGTCACAAATTTGTTTGTTTATTCTTCTCCTTAAAAAGCTCTTATGTGTTGTTATTTTTTTACCTACTTGCAAGTCTTCCTGCCCCTCTGCTGTTGATACCTGTAACAGAAAAGAGGTTCTTACGTATAAATAGTTTTTCTAATATCTGGTTAATTAATATATAATTACTATTATAGATGGACAGATTGACTTTGCTCTTTTCCTCAACAGATACAATTTTACATCTGATAGAGAAGATTATTTAGGTGCCTCATGTCTACAGCTTTCTACAATATCAAGTCTTCCACCTGCTTTTCTTCTTTTATTTAGTACTTTCTTTTGAAATTAGGACAGATTTTCTCTGGGGATGAAAAAGGCAGATGTAACTCTAGCTTATTTTCTGTTGTCTTTTCTGATTGTCTTGGGGTAGCTGCCAGCTTTCAGTCAAGGCTGTGAAGCTGGATGGCTTTGCCTTGAACACTCAGTATTTGCTGCTCTCGTGCATGTGTTTGTAGGCGAACAGGAACACGTTTGTGTGTACTGGGGTTTGAAATAGGGAACAGGAGCCAAGATACCAAAGCCCATGGCTGTGCATTCCCAACATCTGTTACCCAGCCAGGGAGTGAGAATGTGCAGCTGTCCATCAGTTACAGGTTCTTTTGCTGTGGGGAAGCGTGGTGGTTTGTTATTTACCACTTCCATGCTCTGCTAGTGATTTATTTCCCAGGTAATGGTGTTTATTTATTCGGTCAGCTGTTGTGGGTCAGCACACAGGCAGTCAGTGCCTGGCCTGTGTTTGTGCCAAGCCCACAGCAGTAACCACACCACAGGTACTAATGTATGATTGTCATGAGAGTGTTGCTGGGATGTGAGCTCTGATTGAACGTGAGCCATATGTTCTAGAGCAGTTTTCTGTTTGGGGCTGGCATTTCCTAGTGCAGCTCAGGGTGTAGTTGGCTGCCTTTGCCACTGGGACTGATGAATCAGGAACAACCTGCTGTTCACCAGCTCGTTGCCTTTATGCCCTGTTCTGCAAAGTGCCTTTCCAGACAGTTGGGAAAACGAATGTGCTGGGGCATGGGCTTATTCCTCCTGACATGCAGGAGTTAGCATTGCACTCATTTCCACTTTGTGAGGTCCCTGTTGGCCCATTTCTCCAGCCTGTTGAGGTTCCCCTGAGTTGTCAACACATCCATCTGGATTTATCAAATGTTTTTTCTGGTTCTTTTGTAGTTTGAGTTTTTTATCAGTACATACTGCCTATTTGCTGATCTCCTAGGGGTATGGTTTTAAACCCTTCTGGTTTTAAACTGCCTGTTAGCTTTTCCTGAAATGGTGTTTTCGTCCCTAATTTATTTCTGAAGTGTTTTTATGATTTAACATAAGAACGCTGACAGATAAGACTTTATTAGTATTTATTGGTATTTATTGACTCCTACAGGGTTATTTGCCATTTGCTGTGGTAGGAAGTATGGAGAAGGTGAAAATTGGAAACAAAATGGTGAGAGCTCGTCAATACCCTTGGGGCATTGTAAAAGGTAAAGGAATTCTTCAAAGTATTTTTACAGGATTTTTGCTATTGTTGAAGTGTAAAATTCACCAATAATACAAGGGGCTGTTTCACTGATGCCAGGCTGATTGTATTTTGGACCAACAGTGTAAGGAATTTAGCAATTAATACTTGAGGCATGCACTAACTTGTAGGTTCATCCACACTGATGCATCCTTGGGATCAAGATATGAGATGGTGTATGTAGTATTTGGGTAGCTTAGGATAGTGGCAGTAGCTCTAGCACTACCAAATTTCAAACACTTGTGATTGTCAGTAAAGAGGGTTAAAAAAGAGAGAAATGTGTTGTTGTTCAGCTCCAACAGGAAATCAGGACAGGTTGAAATATGTTCACCAGTACTTACAGGTCTTAAGTACTTCAGTGTGTATATTAGAAATCAAAAGGAAGTATAAGAGGTATAATAAACAATGAGATACTTTATTCACTAAATATACTTCTAGGAAAAGGTAAGTGATGCTGTTTAAAATGTATTTTGACTATTTTGCTACTTCTGCATAATAATAAAATCTTCTTTCTACTGTTTAGTGGAAAACGAGAGCCACTGTGACACTATAAAGCTTCGCAGGATGCTTTGCACAAATATGGAAGACTTAAGAGAGAAGACTCGTGCATATTATGAGTCATACCGACGCTGCAGACTGGAAAAGTTGGGTTGCAGAGACATTGGCCCTGAGAACAAATCGGTCAGGTAAAGGACTTAAAGTGCAGCACTTGCTTTCAGCATCCTTTCACTTCATATCAACCCAATGCAGTGCAGCATTCATGCATAAAATACATTTTCTAAGGAGGAAAGAATATTTTTTTTTAATTGAAGGATGTAATTGTTCATTCAGTTACCTTCATGGAGAAGTATAGGGGTTTAAATGAGAATTCTTTTTAAAAACATGAAAGCCAGCTGTACCTCTGAAATCTTTCTCTTCTATAATAAACCTGAGGATTTAAATGTTTCTCAGGAAGCATGTCTGTTTTCTTTAGGTACTTGTGCAATATGAACTTGTAAATTATTTTCATTATTAGTACTATGTTTTACTTTCTCTTAAGAATGTCTGATTCTGAATAATGGTTTGGTTGGACTTCAGGTTCAGAAGGAACTGAAGCAAAAACTTTTACAAAATAAGTGGTTACACTGTTGACTTCCTACATTATCTGCCATAGTAACAAATGTCTTAGCATTTTCAGGCCAAGAAATCTCTTGCTGGACTGTAGGGAGTTAAAAGAGAATTCCAAAGGAAAGTTAAGTGGAAGGTTATAGACACTCAGTTGTTTCATGTAGTAAAGCTGCTTTCTGCAGGAAGCATTTAAAATTTCTGCATCCATTTTGTTTAATCTTTTATTTCCAGTTCTCTCATCTCCCTCTTCCAGTGTCCTTTGGTTTTTCTTTATGCATGGGGCTGTACTTTTAACTGGTCAGAATCCTGCTGGGAAAGAGCTGATGCTTCATGAATTGTTCAAGCCTTTATGGTTTAGCAAGTATCATTACTCCGTAGTCGTGGAAAATACTGACTTAAACCAGGCATGAAAGCAGAGTAAGACTTTGCATGAGAAACAGTTTCTCATTGTTTGAACCAAGGCACATTTGCAGATTAGTTTATTTAGATGATCTTGAGCTGACCTTGAATCAGTAGTCTCTTGACATTTCTCTTGACATAACAAGAATGTAATACATCCTTTTCATAAAAAGAGAACCAAAGTTGAAAGAGGTTTAAAACCAACTGAAATTAACCATATAGTTTTCATTTAGTGTAAGTTTAAGAGCCTGTGTTAACAGCTGATGTCTTATTATCCTTGTCTAGGGAAGACTTACTTTTAGAGTTTTGTTCATGGCAATATTGACTCCAGTCAGTATTTTAGCTTTTCTGAAGATGGATTTCATGGTGTACAGCCATCTCAGGATAAAGAGTTAAATTATAATAAACATCATCCATAGAAGTGTTTTCTACTACAAGCAAAGGAATTATCTTTGTAAAACTCCTACACGGTTTGCGTTTTGTAAACAGCCTGAAGTGGCAGGTTCACATCAGAATGTCCCAGTATTTTACACCTTGGAGCTCATTTAGAAGTTGTCTGCTTCTTGGATATACTGAAGGAGCTGAGTTCTCTCTGGTGTGTAGATTTTATGTATGGCCCCACTAGATGTCAGTTTTCTTGAGAGAGTTTTGGTAAGAAAGTACCCTTAGTAATCAGTTTTGGTAAATCAGATCTATTGAAAATGTCATTGTTTTGGAAGGATGAGAATAGATACCCCATAAGAATCTAGAAAAATGAACTTTTTCCCAGATTTACTGCAACAGGAAGAGAAGCAGGATGAATGTGGTTGTCCCTCAGTAATGTGGCATGGTGAATGATGCTGAGGTCTGAAAGAAAAGGTGTTTGGTGTTTTGGGAGAGACATTTTATGATACCATAAAAAAGGAAGAGAATTTAGAGGCTGTGTATGCAGTGTAATTAGCAGAGAAATGCAGCCTTACCCATTAGGTGTTGTATCAAGTTACTGAGGAAACAATAAAAAGTGTCAACCTCAGCAATGTGATAGAAAATTTCTTTCCACATAGAGGAAGTTCAGTGCTTTCCAGTTTTCTTGTACATTTAAATAACTTTTAGAATAGGTACTATCCAGTTGTTTCAGGCAAAAACGTGTTGCTAAATTGTCATCCTCTTTGTCCTTAAAGATGTTTACAATATATACATGTGGATTCTAAGAACTGTAGTTTTAGAGTATAATTAATACTGCATAGCAGTTGATGCCTGAAGATTAAATTTCATGCTAGTTGTGTAAATTATGATCAAAATGCACATTGAGAATTCATATTTCGTGCCTGTGATGTAGCTGTCTACATACTAAATTTGATAATGATGTAAATTTAGAAAACCTTTGCTAGACTTGAGTAATTGGCTGTTTGTAGCATTTGAACAGTGACACTTGAGTAGCAAATGTGTCGTGTCTTTTGGCATATTCGGAAGAAGCTGCCTGTGAAGTTCATGTACTACTACTTTGGATTTAGAAGTAGGACAGAAGTTTATTCATCCAAAATTGTATGCCACTGCAAAGCAAAACCAGTAATTCTTGTGAGATAGGTTGTGGGCAGACATCTGCAAAGCCTTCCACTCGAAACACTTAAAGTTTTACATGTGTGTAAAAACATGTTGGCAAGGTTTACTTTTTTTATGGGAGATGTGGAAACAAATGGTTTCAGCTTACAACAGAAAAATATATTTGCATCTTTATTACTGGGTCTGAGAAGGGAAAATACAAGGAGTCTGAAATGACTGTCTTGTGCACACTTTTAAAAACACGTATTCCCAAACCCTGTATTTTTGGTGAAGCTATTTCATAATAACTTTTTAATTTGTTAGTTTGCAATTGCATTCTAAGAATGAAGTAATGAAGTCAATGGATAGCAGAGTATTTAGGGCATGGTTGATGCATTTTATGCAGTATCTATTGGATATAAAATTCAGGAAGTGCATTTTTAATAATTTTATAACTTTTTGCTACTTAAAATTGGCATTTGCATTTCTTTGTTGTTGAAAAGTAAAGATAAGCTTTTTTGTGTGTGCAGATGGTCTGGTCCTGCCTTTTCGATGGTCCAATTATGTCCATTATGAACATGAATTCCTTGTTTCAGGTCATCCGCAGTAAGAGATAACTGCTGAGATGTTTTGAATGGGAAAATTTGGAATAGTTGAAAGCAGAAATCTAGATATGAAGAGTGCTTGCAGGAAAAAGACTTCTAAATATGCACACACACACTCCTAGTTAGCCTAGGTGTTTGCCAGGGAGTACAGGATTGCTGGTGTTTTGAAGTCGGGTATTTTGTTAAGTCCATTTTTCAATTTATGTTGTTGCCTATGGGCACATATTTGTTTCTAAAGAAGAAAACTGATAGACCAGGGTCTGTTGAAAAAAGCTGAGGATTGATATTCAGGCTGTATGCTTGCATATCTAGATTCTCTGATGTTAATACTCTGGGTTAGTTGTTTTTCTGTCATCATAATTTGTTCTCCATTATAATTGCAAGTAAACATAATTGTAACATAAGCATCTTGATTTCTCAGTTTGTGGGGAATCATTCTGTGCTTTATTCCTCCCTGAAACTGGGATATTCAGACCTTGCAGTTCTTGAACTTGTTTCTTTTTCAGTCTGTTTTGAAGATGATGACAGAAAACCAGAAAGGATTCAGTGATATGAATAAGTTTATATGTAGGGGAAGGTTGACAAGACTCTTGCCATGTCTAAAAAAAGAAACCTGGTATTTGAAAGGCTATTAGCTCTTTTCCTTAAGAAGTCCTTAGCAATGGAGTTCATCTGACCAGCTGCAGACCTTTGCATTTGAGCTAAATATTTTAACCATCTTAGCATGAGATTGGATCACTCCAAAATACCTGGTTTTCATGCCTCTACTGAAAAATTGGTAATTCTTTAGGTCTACCTAAGGTCTGCATCCTTATTTTTGCTCAATATCAACTGAGCTAGTTGCTTGAGTCAAAGCACAGTGCTAGAAATACCTGCCATTAGTTGATCTTTTCAGTTTTTCTGATACACCTTAAATGATAATCAAATGTTATGCAAAAAGTTGAAAGTATTACTTTCAAATTTGAAAGCTTTTAAAAGTGTAATTGAATGAAATTTAAATACCTGTGTTGTTCAAAGTGCACGTTGTGGTCCACTGAGAGTTGAAATCAATTCAGAGTCTTTATGAACATAATGTCTCTGATTTGGAATCTTAAGCTTCCAGTCTCATGCAGACAGAAAAAACTATATGTCACAGCTATGCTTCTGTAGAAAGGCAGGTTGTAATGCTGGTATGCATTATTAGTTTAGACTTTCTTCACAATTCCTTACTCCAAAACCTCAGTAAGAATACATTATTTAAATAATTAGTTATAATATTTAAATTTTGCAAGTGTCTTCATATAGAGTGTAACGTTCTGAATATCTAAGCCAGAAGGAGGAGAGAACCTGTGAACTTGATTTTCATAATGTGCTAAATGAGAAGCAGTGAAACCAGTCTTCAGATAAATCAAAAAATAATTTACTGTGAGGAATGGATGAAATAATGTTGAAAAGATAGGCTTAAGGTTTGGTGAACTGTTTTTCCTTCTCCCCCAAATCTCCTAACACCAAACAGTATTTGGGTTATTGTGTTGTTGGTACGCCACATGTAGAAAAGGGAGTTTTGGTTTAGTTCTGTCTTGTTGATCTCCAGAACAACTCAATCCAGGGGGAGGGAGTATTTAATGGAGTCATAGAATGGTTGGATTGAAAAAGACTTCAAAGACCATCTAGTTCCAACCCACCTGCCATGGACAGGAGCACCTTCCACCAGACCAGGTTGCTCAAAACACCACCCAGCCTGGCCTTGAACACTTCCACACTCCTGCCTGAACATTTACTGGCATCCACAACCACCTGCACAGTAAATTTAAAAAATACACTTTTATTTCTCCTCTTATTTCTATGTGTAATATGATTAGTTACTGAGTTGAGTGTCTTCAAAGTTAATCTTTTACTAATTTCAACACAAAATTGCTTTTACCTGATAAAGTAACCTAGTCTGGGCCTAAAGATGTCCACAGAAAGAAATGAAGGTGTGGTTGCAGCATGTTAACTTAGTCTAGCATTTGCTCTAGCAGCTTTATTGTTCCCAAAGTCAGCATTTTATCTATCAGAACTGACACTGTGTGCAGAAGTGTGTGTAGTGTGAGATTGCTAGCACTTGAAAAACCTGTGCTGTAGCATTATTGTCTAAACTTAAGAGATAGTGTGAATTAATACATCTGTGTGAAAATCATGCCCCCGTTTCCTGTGGTTTTAGGGATTTAGAATTTCAGGGTGACCTAAGTTACTTCACAGCTGATTAAAAGCCCCGAAAACAAACCCAAACACAAAAGGGTAATTGTTCTGGATTTATTTTGTTGCCATGTAGTGCTCAAATAAGATAGAATAGGAGGAGTGCTCTGGCCTTGATATCTACGAACATTGTCTGCATGTGCAATTTCAAGATGTTTCTTCTCTCTTTAGGTGATATTTTGAATACAAATAAGAAACTTTAGGATTGAGAAACTGCCCAGTCACCATAAACTTAAAAACAGAAGAGAACTGTTTAAGCTTAGTGTTGCTCTAAATAATTAACTCTACAGATTTTTTTTCGGTAAATTTTTCCATTTATAAATGGTGTAAATAGAAACAGTAAAAGATAGGACAAAAACATAAGGGTGTATGTATATTGAAAGTATAAATGAAAATGAAATACTTAATATACATACCTGTTTATTTTACATGAGGGTGGAAGGCATGACTTACCTGGCAAAGGACAGTAACTGATGTTAGCTGGGAAGGGCTGACCAGTGTTAGAAGAAATGAAAGGTGTAAAGAACATCCTCAGAAAAAAAGCTAGAACATTATCCACTGTTTGATCTCTTCTTAAGCCCAGTGTCATAGAAGACAATGCTATCGAGTTTGTAATAACCATTAACACAGCTGTGGTCCCCCAGTTCTGCTCTCTGGAATCACATGACTTAGAGAAGTTTATGGTAAATGTTTTGATGGAAGAACTTACGTCAGTAAGCAGCTTTGCTTTTCAAAGAAAGTTTGGTATATGAGGTACATCTGTGTACAAGCTCCATTCATATTTCTTGAAAAGCACAACATTTCCTGCCAGCACTGCCAGGCAGTGGTAGTGTAGACCCTGAAAATGTCAAACCTCTAGTAGTTTATTCATGTGAATAAATTACTAGTCTCTTTTAATTTGTCATTATATGCTTTGACATGAAAGAAGTATCTCAATTTCAAGTACCTGTTGTTTGGAGGAAAAAAATTATTCTCGTGTACTGAAAAGAGCAGTCTTGAGGTTTTGGCTGTTGCATGTTAGAAAGTAACCCTGTGTTTTGGATGTTGAACTACTTAGGAAATTGAATTAATTCTATATTAGTGTAATTCTGCCATATTTAAATTTTGACGTTACAAAAAGAGTACTATATGTGTTGAAGATGCTTTTATTTTCTTCCGTTTTCATATAAGAACAATCAGTTATTTGTTAGGTTAATGCCGCACATTAACTGGTTTTGTATGGTCCTACTTGAAGACTGAGGTTTCATGATGCAGAAATTTTGGGAGATTTTTCTGGCAGTTTCAGTGTCTTAGTAATAAGCAACTTAAAGAAGAAGCTTATGCATATTGGAGTCAGAAAGGTATAAATCAAGTCTTTAGAACACGCAATGCCTAAAGTGCTGTATTTACTTTGAAATGTAAATTGCCCAGGAGCTGTTAGCATAAGTAATTTTACTCTGGGTTGTTTATGTAAATAAAAAAATAGATAAGATGCTTGCTTCTGTTTAGGTTTCTTTATGAATTTTTATGTGGGTAGCTGTAGAAATTAATATTTCAGATGAGAATTAATTGTTTAAATAATTTTCTAGACTGCTGGTTTTCCACACTGAATAGACCAGTGTACTGGAGAGTTGCTTACATTTTTGAACTTCAGTCTGCAGGAAGTCATTGAGGCAAAGAGGCTCGAGTTCTGCCTTGAAATGGAAAGAAAAGAAGAGGAGATTAAGCAACGAATTGTGCAGAAAGTGAATGAGAAAGCAGCAGTGTTGGAAGAGGCAGAGCAACAGGCAAGCATGCCTGTCTTATCTTGAGTATTTTTTCTCAGCTAAGTTCTTAACAAAATCACTGGTTGATATTTATGATTTCCTAATACTTTGAGGACACTAATGCTTTAAATCAAAAGCAGTTTGGTTACACAGGTTGATTGGATTAGCAGATTGATTTGACACCTGCAAACAAGAGAATATCTTATGAGGAGCAGCTGAGGGAGCTGGGGTTGTTTAGCCTGAAGGAAAGAAGGCTCAGGGGAGACTTTATTGCTCTCTACCTGTAAGGAAAAGTGTAGTGAGTTTGGGGTTTGTGTTTTCTCCCAAGTGTTGTGTGACAATATGAGAGGAAATGGACTTAAAGTTGTGTCATGGGAGGTTTAGACTGGATATTAGGAAAAATGTCTTCACTGAAAGGGCTGTTAAGTGTTGGAGAACAGGCTGCCTAGGGAAGTGGTGAGTCACCATGCATGGAGGAATTTAAAAGATGTGCAGATGTGGCACTTGGGGGCATGGTTTAGTGGTGGACTTGATGATTTTAGAGGTCTTTCCCAGCATATGTGATTCTTTGATTCTATAAGTGGCACTCTTGTTATGGGAAGGCAGGAGCTTAGGGTCTGAAGGCTTTGGTGGATAGCTGGTACTCATCTATAGAGTAGGAGTTGATATGGTAAAGAGTGAAATTGTTGTTTGTCTTCTCTAGCAGTGTGCTGAGAAACATTGGTATGCCTATGCCATAAAAACGCATTGGGTGCTTTTCATGCATAGATTGCTCTGTAAAAATCAAGACTTTAGGAAAAAATGCCATGGGTGGCTTTTTGGAGTGGGCCATGAGTGTTTGCCTGACTTCCAGATTCGGTTATGAAATCTAAGCTTAGCCCTCTCACTGAAAGGTTTCAAAGTGTGTATGTCTGGTATTCTGTTGATTTGTTTCAGTTCTGGTTTCAAAATCTCATCTCTTTCCAGCTGCCTTAAGACTCTTTGAAGATGTGGAATATATCTTGGCTCTCTTTTTAAAGATATAATCTTGTTAAGCTGGACTAGCAAGATACCTACTTTCTGCCAGGCTCTTGTTGTGCTCATGTATATTTATATTCAAACACTGGTCTAATTGAAATTGAAAACCTGTGTATTTTTATTAATGTTCTTTTCTGTACCTCAGTCCCCCAGCAAAGCTGTAGCAGGTTTTTTGAGGTGTTCAGGTGCATGCTTTAAATAAGAATACGGCTTAATATTTGTTTTCTAAATCTGTTAAGACCCCCATGCTACTTGTAGAGGAAAAAAAATCAGATTCAGTCCTTTTCAGTATGAGGCTGTCCAAATGGAAGAATGCTTAGCCATGTTCAAAGCAAGTTCAACAAGGTCTCACACAGTATCTGTGCTAGCCCTTTGATTATTTTCCTTGTATGATTTATACCAAGTGGTTTATGAGCTCTGCAAACTGCAGAATTATGGATATTAGTTTTCCAAGTTCCTGATGTGGGAAAGTGATCATGCAATCACTCCTAAAGAGCATTTGTCATGTACTCTTGCTGCTGTATTTGTATCTGGAAACTAAAGAAAACCAGGAATTTCTGGTTTACTTCAGATTTCTTTCACATCTTTCATTTAGAGGAAACTTGTAATTGCACCTGTAAAATTTGTCAGCACTGCTGTGTGCAACAGGCCTACTGTTACATTTAGAGTCTTAGTTTCTTTTTTGCAAAAGGAGGATTCTAGGAGAATTTGTGCGTGGGGAAATGGGAGATGACGAAGGATTAAGTACCCCTTTTGTTATCACATAACTTCACAGTAGGTTTAAACTGGTTGAAATACATGTGGAAACTAAAATGTATTAACATGTCAAAAAAAACCAGTCAAAGAACAATTACCATAGAAAAGTAGGTAGCTTCTTGCAGCCCACCAGTAACTCCCCAACTGGACTGACTCTATGTACCTACTAATATTTAAATCTGATCAATATACACTTCCCCAGTTGATTTTAGGGAACTGTATTCTACTTGAGACATCTTGATTTAATCTGTCTGTTGATAATTGGTTCATCTCTAAAGGCCTCCTTATTTTGATACAGTAAAATGTAGTAGGGAGTCTAGTATTCACTTAGTGCCTTCCATCTGTACTTTGAGTGTAATAGCCTGAGAACAGTCTGATAAAAGTCATTATTTTTCTGTATTGTTGTTTTTTAGTCTTAACTGTTTGGGGAAATAACTGCAGTTTCTAACGACTATTAACACAATATGAGATGGGTTTTACTGTTAATTTGCAGAGGCTTTTTACACTGTGATATCACCACCTTGTGTTGCCAGTTGGAAATGTTATTTTTTGTGCTTTCTTTAAATAGGTACTGACTAAATTTGAATGTCTTACGCTAATGCATCAAGAAGAGGAGCTGAAATTAGGGGAAAAGAAAAAACTTCTAGAAAAAGAAATAGCTCAGTTTACTGAGAAGAAAACTATCACTGAATTGATTCAGCCACAAGTGTCTATCTCTACCCCTGTTGTTAGTTTGAAGACACAAGGACTGCAAAAAGTAAGTGCTGATGCTAGTCATCAGAGGCAGCAATGAAAAAATTCTTCTATAACTCAAATTTCAGTAATCTTTTAGAAAAGACAGAAACATGCTCCTATTCTGTGATAAGAAGACAAAGGTGTATAAATGATCCTCATGCTTGGATTTACTTTTAGAGTAATTGCTGTATGTTCTATGAGCATTGTTTTATTTTTCTTTTCTTTTTTTCCATGAAAGAACCAAGATTTTCAACTTGAAGTCCAGTGCTTTCATGTCAGAGATGAAGGAACTATGAATGTTGGAGAGCAGAGCAAGAGGGAGAGTGAGAAAGAGGAGTTAGAGAGAGAAATTAATCCAGGGAATTTCAAGAATAGTATTTGATTGCAGCACTCAGGTTTTGAATGTAGGATATGTTAGTAGTTTTATGAAGCGGTCTAACTACTCTTGTCCCATATTAGATGTGTCTTCCTAGTACAAATTATTGAGAGAAGAGATTGATAAAATTTGCTGTAAAAACACAAAGTGCAGAATATGACCCAATAAAAATTTCATTTTCTACCCACTCACTTCTTTCTTTCACCACTCTCATAAGAAGAACTTGAATAAATTGTGAAAATTCAGAAATATTTTCAAAAGTAGTACCCAGAATAACATGTCCAACTGATCTATATAAAAAAGGTGGAATTAAATACTCATAAATTAAATTGACTCAAATGTTTCTCCTCCAAAACCAGAAGTCAATTAACTTACTAATTTTCTTTCCTGGTAGCTTACAAATTTACTGCAGATAGCATTTTGTTAATTAATAACTTCCTGCAGTTGAAAACAGATTTCTTGGTTCTGAGTTTATTTATAACTGCTAGATTCTACAGAAGTTTAGAAGCTATATTGGAGCACATATTTCCACAGATATCATCAAGCTTTGATATTTTTGGGCTGTATGCTAGAAGCCAAATTTGGCCAAAATTCATTGCATTTCAACTACTGTTACCAAATTCCTTTTCCTGATTCATTTTTTTTCTGGATTTACATATGAAAGTGGAATTTTTGGTAACAGAAGTCATTATCTGCACTACTATGAGTAACTCCTGTGGTTTAGTTTTATTTCTTCAGAGTATGTTAAGTATATATGCTTGCTGTGTTTTTTCAGTTCCATCTTTACATAATACTGATGACAGAAAACACAATATTGATAATTTCTTATGAGGAAGCAGTGATTCATGGTGTGCTCTTGAAGGTATAGGAGTTCCTGTTTCTTAGTAAAATGTTTGGCTAATCTTTTGTAGCTGTATCCTGCAAAACAATAATTTTTAAGCATGATCTGTATACACACAGTGTGGTGGTTACTGTCATTGTCATCACGGGCTTTCTGTTACAGCTCTGCCTTGATACGTGTTTGCCTTACATAAGTGTGGTCAGCTTGCTTTAATTTTAAAATGTGCCAAAGAAGGTGTCCTTGCCATAAATAGTTCCATTCAGACTATGAATAGTGTTGTGCAAAAGTATTTGGTGAATATATCCACTACAAGCTTCCTAAAGAGTTCTTTTCAAATTGTAGTGTTTATTAGTCCACTAAGTGTTATTTAATATAACTATTGACATATTTGAACCATTTACTGATTTTGCTGACAGGTTTTTGTTTATAGGCTCTTATGTACAAGCAGTGTTCTAAATTTCAGATATGGTCTTTTAAATCAAAATTTACTGAGATACCTTTGCAATGCTGTACTGTTGCAGGATAGTTCATCTGATATTACTCAGTATGGAAAGTACCTATATTTGATGTTTGAGTGTGGTATTCAGTTACAGTTGAAGATCTACAAAAACTCCAGGTTGGTTAAGTGCTTTGTATGTTTTAAGTAGTCATGATAACTAATGGGAAACTGTAAGAGATACAGTGTTCTCTGGAGTTGTGTTGTTTGACTGTTTAAAAATGAAATGCTAACTTGACAGAAATAAAATAGATTGGTTTTGCTTAAGTGTTACTCTTGTTCTGCTTCCTGTCCCTCATGTGTTATTAAAAAGGAGTAGGATTTCACATTTAACTGAAAAAATATAAAAGTTTTACATCTGTTTTAAATATCTTAAGTCATTTATCAGTTGGAAAAAATAGGTGATTTGTGTGAACTGTACCAGAAGGGCAGTGTGACTTGTGATATATACTTGTTATATACCACTGTACTTAGCATATAGTCGTGGAATATCTCAAGTTGGAAGAAAACCATAAGGAGTTGGAAGAGACCCTTAAGGTTCATTGACTCCAGCTCTCTCCTCCTTGCAGGACTACCATAAAATCCCAACTGTGGCTAAGAACGTTGTCCAGACACTCCTTGAACTCTGACATACTTGGTGTCACGACCACTGCCCTGGGGAACTGTTCAGTCACTAACCTCTATTTTACTCACATAGTGATGCATACCATATAATTTTAAAGGGCTGGAATGGATCTTAAAGATCATCTAGTCCTAAGCCCCTGACATGGACAGGGGCACCTCCCTCTACATCAGGCTGCTCAGCCCTTCATCCAGCCTGGTTTTGAACTCTGCCAGGGATGGGACGTCCACAACCTTCCTGGGGGTAACCTGTTCCAGTCCTCACTACCATCACAGTGAAGATGTTCTTCCTAAAAATCTTGCCTAAATTTCACCTTTTTTAATTTGTACCCATTGCTCCTTGTCCTATGACTACAGTTTCTGACAGAGTTCTTCTCTGGCTTCCCTGTAGGTATCCTCCAAATACTGAAAGGTTTGTTCCAAACAACCATCTTTTCTCTGAACAGCCCCAACTTTCTCAGCCTTTTTTTGTAGGATAGGTGCTCCAGTCCCCTTATTAACTTTGTGGCCCTACTCTGGACTTGCTCCACCAGTTCCATGCCCCATCCAGACTTGGATGCAGCACTCCAGGTGGGGTTTTCACAAGAGCAGAGGGGCAGAGTCCCCTCCCTTGCCCTGCTTGGGATGCAGCTCAGGACATGGTTGGCTTTCTGAACTGTGAGTGCACATTGCCTGCCCATGTTGAGTTTTCCATGAACCATTACCCCCAAGTCTTCTGCAGGGCTGTTCTCAATCAATACTCTGCCTAACCTGTGCATAAAAGATTGTTTTCCTTCAGTAGCAGTGAGAAGGAATAGATGATGAGACATAAATCCTTCCATTGAACAGGAAAGGGTCAAACTGCTAATTCAGTCATCTCTACAGATAGAACAGGCTGTAACACAGGAGGAAAGGATTAAGAGGAGACATTCATTTAGCCCACAGACTCAGCCAACATATGACTTGCTTCAAGAGAAGAAAATGGGGCAGGGTCATGCCCTGTGATTCTCCTTCCTGACCAAAACGTAGCTTGATGAAAGACTATTTTTTGTTTGACTTTGTACCATTGACTGGGCCATTTGCATTTGTTGGATTAGAAAGAAGGGGTATGTCTTTCTTAAAGGAGGTAATGGCCAAATGAAAAAAAAGCAGAATGTAATAATAATTGAATGATGTGTATTGTCAGCACTCAGTTATCTCCCAGTGTGCTATATGCTATCCTAGCCACTGATGTTAGTTAGCTCAAGCACAGCTCTTCATGAGTGTTACAAAACTGCATCAAAAGACAGATTTAGCTGTCTATAGTCTGGCCACTTTGCTGGGGACAAAGACTGAGAATAGTTAAGTACCGTTTGACCTAGATAGCTCTGTGCCTGGCCAGTGCTAGAGGATGTGCTGTGCTTTGACAGCTGGGAACCATGAATAGAGATGTGGTACCACATGCCTTGGTCAGATGGGTTTCTGTGCACTTGCACGTGCTGGCCTTGCAGGACTCAGCAGAAAAACAAAATGATGCAGGCACCTGTGCACCAGGAACAGGTGACAGTCAAAGCAGGGTTTTCAGTTGTATCACGAAAACAATGTAGCACAAAGTGAGAGCTGGTGGGTTTTCCTTTTCATTTCCTTATATTCATTTAAACAGCAGAGAGTCATCTAAGTGTGGGAAATTCCACTGTTATTATGTTTAAGTTGGTCCAAAGATGTGATACCAGGTAAGAGCCACAAGTGTGTCACAGCCTGACAGTCAAATGCAATTCAAAGAATTACAAGGGAGCAGCTAACAATATTGTCTGGAAGTGGAGAATTAATAGTGGTGATAAATAAAAACATATGTCTTCTTGTGGTTTATCTTAACCATATGCTTTTCAGTTGGACACTTCAGAGAGGTTTATCCTGCATTTGAAGGGATTTCAGGACCACTTATTAAGGTCTCTTTATTGTTATGGTACCTTCTGCAAGTGGCTGCTACAAGATTATTTGCACTCTACAAATCGGAAGGCTTTGCTTTTTTGAATCCTTTTCTTAAGGTTATTTTCCATATATATTTTGTATACTTATTCACAACTCTATCTTTAAAGTTACTTTATCAGTAACAAGACAGCCAGTTAGGAGGTTTATCTTATATCTGGCTGACAGGCTGGGCTCAAAAAGTTGCAGTAAATGGGATTACATCAAGCTGGCAGTTGGGCACCCCAAGGATCACTTTTAGGGTCAGTGCTCTTTAATGTTTTGTAAATGAACTGTGCATAGGTGTTGAAGGTTTATTAAGCAAGTTTACTGATGATGCTAAATTCAGGAGCTGTGGACTCCCTCTAGGATAGAGAGGCCTTACAGAAATGCCTGGATAGGCTACGGAGCTGTGCAGTCTCTAGCTGATGGAAATTAACAGGAGCAAGTACCAGAAATTCAGAGGAAGTTCAGAGTGAACGTTAGGAAAAGACTTTTCACTGGGAGCATAGTTGGAACAGGCTCCCCAGGACAGTGGTTACAGCACCAAGCTTGTCAGAGTTCAAGAAGCATCTGGAATATGCTCTTAGTCATATGGTTTAATTTTAGGTAGTCCTGCACGGAACAGAGACTTGGGCTCAATCCTTATGGGTCCCTTCCAACTTGAGATATTCCGTGCTTCTATGGATTTTAACTTATGGAAACACAAGCCTCTTGTAACAGCAGCAACATAATATTTATATAGAAAGAAAAATACTCAAAAGAGAAATGAGTAATTTTTCCAGACCTTTGTGAAGACTTCTCTAATTTCTATTCGGTGAATCACTGCAAAAAGTAATTTAGTGTAATTCATGGATGGATAAAATACCCAGCTGGATTTTTATGAAGTACTGAGGCATCTACGTCTCCACGTTTTCTTTAATAAATACATTTTTTAAAATCCAGACCCCAGCATCAAGGCAGCAAAGTACTGATAGTTAAATATAGAAACTTGCAGGATTTTAAACTAGACAAAAAAAGCTTCAACAGGAAATTCGCTAGGGAGCGCTCGAAGCACGTGGCTTTTGCTTTTGGGGAAGGACCGTGGCGCTGAGCAGCTGTGTCACTGGCCCTCAACAGCCCCCTCTAGTTAAAACTGCTTTTGTCGGGAGTTTGAAGTAGGTGAGCCCCAGAGGCCCCTTCCGAAATCAGCAGTTCCGTAATTCTATAGCTCATTTATCACGAACAATTTTTTTTGTTCAAATATTAAGAAGATATTAACTTATTTTCTGTAGAAACAAAGGTGTAAGCACAGAAGCAACATAAAAGTAAATGCTGTGAGAGCTGTGAGCTGATGTGGTTGATTATGTGCTAGGCCATTAAAATGCTGGAATCAGTCTTTATAGTTTGAAAAACTAAGTACAATTGCACCTCATTCGGAGCCAAAATCTTTTTAAATTACTTTCTAGGAAGGTGTGAGAAAATAGCATATATTTCTTGTTGAGAACTGCAAGTCAGATGTGTCAGGATAGTTTCTGGGTGATCATACTGTGAGCTTTAAACTTTCTGAAAAAGAATATTTATGGAGCTACACAAATGTTTTTTGGCAGCAGATTTCTCAGTATCTATTTTGGGGGTACCTGTACTCACGATCATTAAGGAATAATCTCTCTGGGCACTTCAGTGTATCACAGTATATAAGTGCAATTTTCATAAACAAGAAGCCCACCAAACCAATAATTTCAAAATTAAATTCTGGCTTCCGGCAGAAATTTGCCTCTCTGATTTTCATATTGAACTATGAAGGATTTTGATACATTCCTATTCACATATACAAATCCATATGTTTTTCACCAGTGTACGTAGAGAGATGCATCTCAGGCCTGCTGGTGTCTATGGATATATAGACCACTGACAGCAAGTGACAGAGGTTAGCTAAGAGTGGTCCTTGGGATGTGTGATTCCTGATCAGTTCAAGATACTATTTTAGTGTTTAACACTTGGTCTGGGTGCCTGCCTGCAGTGTCTGCATTCCCATATGCTGGGAGTTGGAAATCTTTACTACCCCATTAGTCCACATACTTCTGGGGAGATGATCATTCCTGCTGAGGAGAGACAGTGGGGCAGAGCTCTGCAGATTTTACACCTCCATCCTTGCAGAATGGAAATGTGGACCTACTCCTTCCTCTGGAAGATGTTAGCTCCTTCACCTGAGGCTTAGAAGAAGCAGAATGGTAGTCATCACCCCTTTGGAGAGAAGAGAGATTAATTGGTGTGTTTTAGAGAGATGATGAGAAGGTGCTGGTGTTTGCATAGCTGTTTTTCATGGCTTCTACTTCAGTTTCATTGGTAAGTCTGGGGAGTTCTGTTCCCACTTATGTTGGCAGTGTGAAGATGGTCAGTCCTTTGACCTTCTGGGGAAACAACTGGGAAAAATGTCCCAGTGCATTTTGGCCTATCCAGCTGACAAGGTGTGTGAGAGGCCAGGTAGACAGGACACACAGAAAACTCTGTCATAGCCTTTCCTCAAATGTTTGTTACCCCCATCACATCATGGGATGTGACAGGACTCATTTGACTTGCAGGCTGTAGTGAAA